TTTTTTTTTTTTTTTTTTTTTTTTTTTTTTTTTTTTTTTTTTTTTTTTTTTTTTTTTTTTTTTTTTTTTTGTTTTGTTGATAGAGAAAGCGAATCATTACCACTTGAATTGTGACTTCTGTGATTTTATATTTTTCCTTCCAGAGGGATAAGGTTGAAAAGTTGCTGAAGGAAGGAGATCCAAGTCATGTCATCATTTGTGACCATCTCAAAAAGGTATACCGAGGAAAGGATGGGAACCCTGAGAAGTTTGCAGTTAGGGGACTATCTCTTGCTTTGCTTCGAGGAGAATGCTTTGGAATGCTAGGTCCTAATGGTGCAGGAAAGACCTCCTTTATCAGTATGGTGAGCTGAAATCTCCCCTTCAATAGTGATTGTCGTTTGTCTCCCTTCTTTCCTTGGACTTCTATGTTTTTAAATAACTTTCTGATTGTCAACGAATCCCACCACATATCTGGTGTGGACGTAGATGTTCCTGTTTTTCTTGTAAATTTTACTCACACGAGGATCCGTTTTCAGATGATTGGTCTTATAAAACCCACCGCTGGAACAGCCTTTGTCGAAGGTCTGGACATAAGGACCGAGATGGATGGCATATATGCAAGCATGGGTGTTTGTCCACAGCATGAGTAAGCTTATTTATGGCTGGACTTACTTTATGCTGACCCTTAACTTGAGCTTCCTTATGTTTTTATTTTTGGGGACCATGTAGCCTGTTATGGGAAACCTTGACAGGAAGGGAGCACCTACTCTTTTATGGCAGACTGAAGAATTTAAAAGATTCTGCTTTAATACAAGTAAGCATAATATTAAACTGAAATCATCATGCGAGTTCATGGTATAGATCCAATATCTTCATATTGCACTAACTCTTAGAAAGTGACGCATGCAAAGAATGAAACAGTTCTTTTTTGTAACAACAATGGAAAATGCATTAGAAAAAGAAATTTTGTGTCGTCCTCATTGCTTTTTAATTGCTTCAGGCAGTGGAAGAATCTCTCAAGGGGGTCAACCTCTTCCATGGAGGAGTAGCGGATAAACAAGCTGGGGAGTACAGTGGAGGTATGAAGAGGAGGCTTAGTGTTGCTATTTCACTGATTGGAGATCCTAAAGTAATGTATCGATCTGTTTCATTCTAATATGTCAAGGCCCTTTCTATATCTGAAAACACCATTAAAAACTTCGCGAAGGTTGTTTATATGGATGAGCCAAGCACCGGCCTAGATCCAGCTTCAAGAAAAAGTTTATGGAATCTTGTGAAGCGTGCGAAGCAAGATCGAGCAATCATCCTTACTAGTATGTTTCCTTCGTTTCCCAGTCTCATTTTGCATTTAATCACTTGACCCGAAATTTAATCTCTGAACTTTAAGGTTTGTGTACATTTAATCCTTAAACTTTCAAAGTTAAAAATTTAGTACCTAAGCACATTTTTTAAGATTTAAGAACGGAATAGATACAGACCTAAATGTTCAAGACTAAACTTATAATTTAACCTCATAGAAATACTAAGATTTTTCTCGCTCACTATTTTTGTTTAACTTCTCCATGTTTAGTTATCATTTGTTCATTTACATTATTGGAATTATGGCAGATTTTGTATTAATAGCGGCTCATTATTCCGTTGTTCTTTCTGATTATATTGAATATTGAAAAAACTTGTACCATCAGCTCATTCTATGGAAGAGGCGGAAGTCTTGTGCGATCGGATAGGAATTTTTGCAGATGGAAGCCTTCAGTGTATTGGAAATCCAAAAGAGGTAACTTGATTAATCTCTGAGCGGTCGATAATGTAACTTTGGCCATTAAACCTTTTTACCTGTTCTTCTTTTCCTCAATATATTTGGTAGAACTCAAGTGGGATTTTGACGGTATCGAGGAACAAGTACAAGAATAAGGAAAGAAAAAAAATCAAAATCTACCATTCTCCTCCCATCAACCCGACAAATCCCTTCTAGTTTGATTTCCCTGAGTAACTTCCTAGATTCCCTTTATCTTCCAACTTCCTTCCAAATATATTATTCCTTTCTTGCACCCTCTTCCCGTTTCTTTCACATTTGCTTTTCCATCCGATTTGCAGTCAACTTTGGAGAAGGAAAAAAGAATGCTTTTCTTATAAACAAAGAAAACACACACACACACACACGTCGGAGGATGTACGTTTTCGACCACTTTGTTGGATAGTTTTGGGGTAGCTACAAACCATTTTAGTGCCTCAGTTCATCCTAGAGAGTGTTCATGAAATAGGATTTTCTGTATCTTGATTACATGCAACCAAGGTTTTGCTTATTTTTTTACCCTCTGCTGTGATGTGAATCGCTTTAATATGCATTGCATTATATCCTTTTGGGACTGTATATAAGTAATTTATCAAATTGGCAATCTTTGGACAGCTTAAAGCCAGATATGGTGGGGCTTATGTATTGACGATGACAACATCCCCTGCTCATGAGGGAGATGTTGAGAACATGGTGAAGCGTTTGGCCCCTGGAGCTAGCAAGATATACCGCTTATCTGGAACCCAAAAATTTGAGCTTCCAAAACACCAGGTTCGGATTGCAGATGTGTTCCAAGCAGTGGAAAATGCCAAAAGCAGGTTTGCAGTATTGGCTTGGGGTTTGGCTGACACCACTTTAGAGGATGTGTTTATCAAAGTTGCTAATGGCGCCGAGTCATCAGATACGCTTTCTTGATTTCTTGTTGCTTTCTCTCCTTTAAATTAAAAGAATAGAGCTTGAATTTGTACACAAACTGAATCATTTAATTGAATCTAATACACTATTGATTGTTTGAATTGTTGTTCCTGAAATATTTATATGAAGATTGTTACTATATGATGGTTTTCTGACTAAAGCAGCTAGCACTAACTCCAAGAACAACCAAAAAAGTCCAACTTTTAAGATCTTTTAAAGCCGATTGCAGCAATTAGAGTTCAATTTATGTATCATGTTGGCTGGTGCACCTAAAAGTTAGGTAAACACTTGACTTTTTATGGCTTTCATTCCTATCTGTGTTTGAATCCTAAATTTATTGCTCTGTTTGTCTCTCTTGTCAGAAAAATTAGGAAAAGAACAGTTTTTTAAAGAGAAAAAAAGACCACCAGACTTTGTTAGCAGACCTTACCGTAGAACATCTTTCAGAGTTCTCCAGAACAGTTGAGAATCATACCAAAGAAACAGAAGAAAAGGGTAATCTTGGTGTCAAGAATGGTAGAGAATCATTACAGAAAAACAGAATAAGAAACAAGAAACAGAGATAAGCAATTGATCAGAAATGTGGGTTTCATTCATAAACCTTCCAAGGCATGTTTGAAAATAGGAATCATCCAAAAAGGGGGGAAAACCCAATAAAGAACAGTAAATATATTACAGAACGGCCAAGACTATCAGAACCAAAACAGAGCTTCATTCCTCTTCCAATGGCATCTGAAACCGACACAAGGGGCAGCGGTTGCTGAGTTGCAGCCATTTGTGAATACAATTTCGATGGTAAATATGTAAACAAGGCATTCGAAGTGCATCAATTTCAGACCCAACTGAAACGATATCATCCAAACAAATCACACAATCACTCAAAGCCCCATTCATTTCAACTCTCTCCATTTCCTGAATCGAAGCTCTACTCGCCCGGCGCGACCCAGTTCCCATAATGGTGTCCGACCCATAACTCGAGTCCTCCATGGCCTCCTCAGGCAGCACCAGCTCGACGACCATGGGAATGGTGCGGGAGAGAGCGTTAGTGGGTTCGGTTGCAATTCCGCGGGCGCTAATGGAAATCTGCTGAATGAAAAAGGGTTGAAGATGGTAAGGCACATTGGTTTCGGATAGCATAGTGGAAATTGCGGACCAAGAGAAGGAATCTTGAGTTAAAACGTCACATCTTTGCCTGAAATTCTTGTAACGAAGAGTGCTGATGATTTGGTCGCCTTGAGTTGCATATGAGGAGACATAGAAATCGATGAAGAACTCAGGGGATTCAGAAGAAGAAGAAGAAAAAGAACAATGAGTTTCAGAGAAGTCTTGGGGCTGCCAAACCTCGCAGTGGAGGCCGGAGACGGCGGCGGCGGCGGCGGCGGTGGACATTGATTTTTTTTCTGTTAATTGGAGAAATTTTGGTGATGATATAAAAAAAAGGAAGGAATTTTAAATTGGGGTTTTGGGATTGGAAGGAATCGAGAGATGGAGTAATAGGGAAGTAATGGCGTGGCTTTGAAGCTAAGAAAGAGTAGTAAGGCTTCCCATTTCTTTTACTTGTTGGATTTTTATTTTTTATTTTTTTTCTTTATTATATATATATATATATATATATATATATATATATATATATATATATATGTTTGGTTTAGTTTAACTAACTTCTTTCTCTTAATAAATATATAAATATTTTAACTAACTTATTGGATTTGGTGTAGTTCCAATGTTTTAATTATAACATAACATCTCTTTAATTATAATTAACACAATAATTAGAAACCAAAACTTTAACTATAAAAACTAAATTATTAACTTAACAATCTTACAAATCATTTATGATTATCATTTGCTTCTCTCTGTCCGTGATTGGTCAATGAACAGAGACAATAAAAACCAAAACTTTGGTTGGTTGGGTTGTCTGCAACATAAGAAATGATGCTGCCAATGATATTTTTAAGGTTTGATTGCCAAAGCATAAATGTCTGGAAAAAATGGCATCTTTTAAAGCAACTCTCTTAATCACTGTTTGCTACTCATTATTTGCATCCCTTCTATGTGAAGGTTTAGTGTTATCTTCTCTCTGCAAAATTTATTATAGCAGCTGCCCAACATTTTTCCCACCTCCATTTCATCTCAAAAAACCAAACAAATTTAACTGATTTGCTGTCGTTTGCAGAATAGAAACATTGATCGAGCTCGTTCTCTTCGGTCAGAATATTGGCCTCTTTGCCCTATCCAAGTTATAGTTGAAGATGAGTTGAGAATTTCGACTGCTACAGTCCACCAACCGAACGTGCCTAAGTAAAAAAAATATTTATTTACTTGGGTCATTAATAAAAACGTGATCCATCTCTTCTCAAAGGTCCCTACAATTTTCATTTGGATGGTAATGGAGAGCTCGCTTTTGGTGTATGTCTCAGCGGGGACTTCGGCCCCGGACTGTTTAATCTTTGGTTATCGACATGCTTAACCAGGGGGAGCTCTTCGAGAGAAGATAGAACTTCGGACATCTGTGGTCGTAATTTTGCCTCCCGAATGCATTGCAATGCAAGTACTGTAGTCATGTACGCAGCTTTTTGAGGGTATTGGCCCTCTAACTTCGTGTCCATTATCCGAAATAACTTGCGTTTATCAGCCAAGTACGGTCTCGCCCATTCCACAAGATTCTGTTCGATACCAACTTTAGTTTTATCAACAGCACGACGTCCTGAAAGAAGCTCCAGCAGTACAACCCCAAAGCTATACACATCACACTTAGCTGTTAACCTACCTGCAATTGGAAGCATAGAGATTTATCCATCAGAAGTGTGTAGACAGATTTCATGCTCAGTAGTTGCTAATCTTATTCTAGTAGCTACAAAACTTCTCAAGGATTTGCCAACCAATTCACTTCAAGAGAAAAGGCATCAAAGATTTCCCTTGAGAAGATTTATTATAATTAGATTTCATCTACCAGACAAACGAGCATATTCGAAATTTAGCGATAGATCGAAACAGAAGATGGAGAAAAAAACGTTGAATTACCAAGTTGGTATCTCAATGTATCTATCATGATCTAGAATGCACATATCCTACCGTAATTCCACATATCATGAGACTGAGATGAAGGACAAACCGGTGGCAATATATTCTGGAGCGGCATAGCCTTGAGTACCCATAACTTGAGTGGACACATGAGTCCTATCACCAGTTGGGCCTGCTTTTGCCAAACCAAAATCTGAAAGTTTTGCATTGAATTCCTGTGTACAGACAGATGAACTTAGAGGGAAGGGCAACGAAATAAAGGTGTAACAGAACTCTTTGCCATGAAGCACTTAAATGACATACTGAATCTAAAAGGATGTTCGATGCTTTGAAATCGCGATAGATAACTGGTTCTTCTGAGTCGTGCAGAAAGGAAAGCCCTCGAGCAGCACCGATAGCAACTTTGATCCTTATTGCCCATGAAAGTGGTCGCGCACCCCCTGCCAATGTCATTGCACATTCAAGAACATAGGTTTAGAACCTAATTAATGAGTAAAAACATTGCCACAAAAAGGTTGATGACTGCAGCAGGGTTACAGTTAGAGTTGGCCAAAACATTACTTACTTCTAAATAGATGATTTTCGAGGCTGCCTTTGGACATATACTCATAGACTAAAAGTCGGCTGTCCCCATCAAGGCAGAACCCGATTAGTTTAACCAGATTCGGATGATGAAGCTGACCGAGGTAGTTAACTTCGGACTGCAATCAATAGCAACCTGATTTATAAAGCAAATCGAGCCAGAAAGATTACGAGGACGTGTAAAAATAAAGAGCGAAGTACCAGCCATTCCTTGTGTCCTTGAAAGCCTTCAGGTTTAAGCTTCTTCACTGCAACAACCATTCCAGCTCCAGGTCTCACAGCTTCTAGTGTATGTTCATCAATCCATCCTTTGTAAACATGACCAAAACCTCCTTCTCCAATTAGACTGTCAGGGCGGAAGTTTTTAGTAGCATTCCTAAGCTCACTGTATGTGAAGGCTTTCAGATTTGGAGACAGCAATATTTCACCTTCGGATCTATGAGCTTGAAGACCTCTAGATGGCGTACTCCCGCCAAGGGATGGAGCTCTCAAAGAAGCAGATGAATGACCTTTCCTATTATGTTTTTTTGGTTCTTCTGCACGGGATAAGAGTGACAACGATTACAATGGCTGAATAGTGAAGTATGCGCACGGGCAACTAAACTAATCCTATTTAGCTGACAGGCAGCAATTGATATAGAAGTTCAAAGAACAATATTTCAGCTGTTTCATTAACGAGCACATAGATCCCTTGAGCAAATCCTGTCTTTTACACTTAGCCACAAGCCAAAACTTCTATAAGATTTCTCCAAAATTCCACAGCTTACTATAACTTAGCTTCGGTTTAATATTCATATAGATTGTCGAAAGATCCCACCTTGAAAAAACGAAAAGATCTCACTATCTTTATATGATATACAAGGGTTACTTCTCTTATTACCAATGCATTTAGAGATGGAACCTAATCTTTATCGAATAAGGTATTAGAGCACATAAAGCCCAAGCGGGTATTCGGTCCAAAAAATTGGGATCCGACGTAAGAATGGTGAACCCGAAAAGGCACCATCTTATGGAGACATCTTGAAGATTTTATATCACAAAAATGAAGAGACCTCACTATCGATATAAGATATACGTGGGTTACTCTTCTCGTTGTCCTTTGGTTTTGGAATGGAACTCTGTATATTGAACCCGACCCTATGTTTATCTAATACAGATAAACTAGGGAGATAGTAGCAGACTCTTACAGAACACCATCGCCATTCATTCGTCCGACAGCCAACATCTATCAGCCTCCCGGGCAATGCCCTTACCACTCATTGTGATCTTCAAACCAACTCCAGTTTGTTCCACCCAATTTTTATCATCATACCATAATCTCTAGTGCATTTCACATCAGGCTCATGATCAATATGAACTCTCATAGTGACTAGAAAAGTAATTGTTCCATGTCCCCTTAGACTACATTCATAAAATGAAAATACTAAACCAATTTACTCCAAAAGTAATTTTCAAAATGGAAACATAAAATCTTCACCCGCCAGTTCATACATCTATCACTTTACAAGACACGATAGATTGTGTTCAATTTACACAAACAATTTTAACTTGAACAGAAATCCACTTGACCCTAAATACAGAACAATTCTTCATGGGCTTCATAAGTAGAGCACTGAGATCTCAGTGCCATGGATAGTGTACTCACTCAACTTACAAAGCTAAGAAACACAACATGGATTTGGGAGTATCGAAAGCGCAGTACAATACCCAATAATGTAAAGTTCAAAGGAGGTAGCAAGAGAAAGTAAACCTTAAGATGGATTTGAACAAGCTACAAAATGTCGAAAAAGGAGAAGAAAATCCCTATAACCCTTTCATTCAACCAAACCCATTTCGCAACACACCCAGACAAAATTCCCAGAAAGTTTATCCAAAAAAAAACCCAAAAGAAACGAACCCATCACGAAAAAAAAGGAGAAAAGGAGAAAAAAGAAAGGAGTCCATGGAATCGACAATGAAAATGAAACAGGGGAAAGGAATTACCAGAATTAGGGAAGGAGTTGAGGGAGTTATCCACCTTAGAGCAAGCTTTTTCGAGGCAATTACCCATTGAAAAAGAGAGGGAAAGTAAGAAGAAAGCAACAAAAGAACTACGAAAAGCTCTGAAACTTTGCAGAGAAGCTCGAATCGTTGTATTGGCGCTCCTCTTCGAGCATCTGGTTCTGCTCTTCTTCTCTCAGTAATCGAGATTAGCATCAAATATGAATCAAAATACAAGAAAATACCACACCCTTTTTTAATTAAAATAAAATACATTTTGTTAAAAGAAACAGAGACAGACAGCGACGCTGGGAGAAAATTCGATTGTTAAAACAGAAAAGGTGAGGGGTGAGAATGTTGATGTCAAAAATGACCAATTGCTAACGTGTAAGTACGATAATACACCGAACCGGACCGGACCGGAGAAAATAAACTCCGTTAAATCCTGTTTTTACCAAACTACCCCCGGCTTTAATTATATTTTTAGAAAGTTAATTAAGTTTCCTTAAATAAAACTCAAGTTTACTACAAAAGGTGTGAAATTTTTTACTTTTATTGGTATCTTAACCATTTATTAATGTATTTATTATTGATTGTAATTAAATCCAATAATAATTGTATTAATGTAATTTCTAAAAATATAAATTTTAATATGGATACAAAAAAATATAGATGATTTAATTTTTGTGTGGTGAAGTTTGGTAGACATCACGATGGTTGAATTAATTTGAAATTAATAATGATAATGTAATGTACCTTAAAAATGAGGATATTTAATGAAGTGTGTACCTAAAACATTGCTTTATTTAAATCTATAAAGTATCAAACAAGATAAGAGCACACCCAAATTAAAGCCCATTTTATATAATTTCCCTAAAGCACTAACTCATTGCCTCAATTATTTCATTCAATTCAAATATCTACGATCTATCCGTAATTATTTGGTCGGTTTTATTCGAAAAAGGAGAGTACTGAATTAGAGAATTAAATTTATGTGAGATTCCACAATAATTGGGGAGCTTAACAACGTAATGGGTCAGAGCGGACAATATCTGCTAATGGTGAACTTGGGTTGTTACAAATAGTATAAGAGCTAGACATTGAGCGGTGTACCAGCGTTTCGTGTGAAAATCTCTCCCCCTAAAAGATGTGTTTTAAAATCGTGAAGTTGACGGTAATGATCGCACTTGATCACAACGTAGTTTATTGGGACGATTCACACACCCAATTGAGCTCGGTCACTTTAGCCACAAATTCCCTCTATCCATAGGAAGAAAAGAGAAAAAGAACTCATGAGGGAGATCCACACCAACCATCAAGAGCATTATAACCTATGTTGCTTCATTCAATGATATTAGCTGATTTCTTGTCACAATCCCCAACCAAAATCTCAACTATTTCCCTCCTCTCTTCCACTCTAAGCTATGCAAAAGGATTGAAATTTGGGATTGAATCACCAACCCCTTTAATACCCATTTTCCAAATCCCAAACCCACTTCACTTCAACCATTAATGAGGCATAAAACACACCCTATTCATCAATTTCTCAACCTCAAAACCCTTCTTTTAGCTCTCTTTCTTTCATTTTTCCTCATCTTCCTTATCAAAGCTAACATCTTTGACTCACCCACACAAAACCCATCTTCAAAGTTGCAATCTTTTTCACCAAAAACCACAAAAAATTGCTCCCTATCTTCTTGCAACAACATCCCTCGTGTGTCAGTTGGCGCTTAAGGGACTGCCCGAGGAAGTGTATGAGGTGGATGCACCGACAGGGTACTACGACGAGGCACTGGGGAGGATGACGGCGATTTATACGGCGGGGGAATTACGGACTAGTTTGTGCATGATGTGAATAGGGAAGTGGAAGATAAGTTTTCGATGGAGTTCTTGTGTGAAGGTTATCTGGAGCCCTCGAACGAAGTACACTATAGAACCTCCCCTGAGACCTATAGAGCCTTCGAACAATCTTTTGTTAATCGAGTCTCAACTTCTTCTCTGGAGCCATTGAACAAAGTACCCATTTGTTTGACACTTGAGTCACTTTTAACTACACATTCGAGTCTCACAACTTCTTTGTTCAACGCTTGAGATAGCGTTCGTTCCTTATAAACTCATGACATAAAATTCACATCTTTGAGTTCGTGATCAATAATATATATATGTTAAAGACTCATACATCAACTTTAGTCTCTAGACAAGTTAATTGGTTAAGATATTGTGCTAGCTCACTCATTCATCTTCCCATTAATCCTCTTGTTACACACAAAGTCAAGATTATAAAGCACAAACAGCATAACCACAAAGCACAAGAAAACCAGCAACGGCCCACAAATCCAAAGCACCAATGGGAGAGCCGAATAGAAGAGTCTATTTCCAATGGTGTTCAAAACACAGCCTTTCTCCAAAATGTTGACCAAATGCTGCTCTGTCAGCACGGACAAGGGCTGCAATGGGGCGCTGATCAGAAGCCCGCCTAGGTTCATGAACCTGATCGACAAACTGTGGAAGAAGAATGAGAAGATGAATATGGTTAGGATTGTTATAAACTTCAGAGCCGCTGTGAACTCCCCGTGGGCACCGTAGACGGCATTGGTCAGCGGCTTTTTGATGCTGTAGGTGCTGCTGAGGACGCGGCGAGCCCGGCGCACAGGAGAATCGAGGTGGTGGCCATCAAAATTGAACCCAGTATCATGTTCCTCAGGGTTTGAACTACAAGGATGTTCTTGTCGGAGTAACACACCTTAAACTATACTTATCTTTTGTAAGTATCCAAATCCACCCGATATTGTCTTCTTTGGGCTTTTCCTTTCGAACTTCTCCTCAAAGCTTTAAAACGCGTCTGCTAGGAGAAGGTTTCCACATCCTTATAAATGGTGTGTTGTTCTCCTCCCCAACCAATATGGGACATTCACACACGCTGTTATTTAAACCTAAATAAATATTTTGGCAAGAATTTTAAATTTGAATACAAAATTCTTATTCTAAACTACCTTAACCTAACTTTTTACCATATACCATATACTTCTATAATATATTCCCTTTTAAACTTATGTGTGACGTATTATCCTTGCAAGGGTATAAATCGGGAAATCGTCCAAAATTTTATTGTGAGATCTCACATTGGCGGGAGAGGAGAACTAAACATTTCTTACAAGGGTGTGGAAACCTATTAGTAAAAGACGTGTTTTAAAACTGTGAGGCTGATGACAATACGTAATGGGTCAAAGCGGACAATATCTATTGAACTGTTACATATGATCAAATGGTATCAAATAGACATCAGACGGTGTTCCAGCAAAGACATTGGACCTCCCAAAACCATGAGGCTAAGCGCGATACATAACGGGTCAAAATGGGTGGGACCCGTATTCACATTCCCAAACTAAAATCAAATTTGAATATATAATCCTTTTCTATAAACTCCTTATTCAAGATATGAAACTCATCGATCTCGTCGGTAAAAACAAACAACCAACTAAACAAATGATGCAGAGTTGGATGAAATACCTTGAGCATGGCGGAGATCTAGAGGCGGCGGACGGTGGCAGTAACTCCGATGAAGGTGGCGAGTGGCTGAGTTTTAACCTTGTACCATAACCATGCATGATAGGTGAATGTGAGGAGAAGACCAAGAGGAACAAATATGGCGTCCAAATAATAGTTCTTCCATTCCATTGAATTAGCTTTCTTCTTCTTCTTCTGTAATTCTCTCCGAGGCTGTGGCTGATTCTTCTCATCTTTGATTCAAATAAATATTGTGGAATGATCATTTTGTCTCATTTACCAAATTTTTTATTCTTCCCTTTTCCACTTTAGTCCTCCCTTTAGTTAATCATGGATTTGTATACTTTCCCAACTGCGCCCATCTAGATCTACCTTCGCTTTTCAAATCTCTAAACCAAATGTGTAAAAGGGTGAACGGCAAGAGAGTCACTCGAGTTGAATCATTTCTCCGATGAGGGGCAGGCCCAAGTTGAGCATCACCATGGAGATGTATTCTTTACTTATAAGTCCATGATCAACTACTTAATTCGTGGAAATGAGACTCCTTTTCCAACAATTCTCAACGATCCTCTCGAACAAAATACATCATAGAGCCTCCCTTGAGACCTGTAGAGCCCTTGAACAACCTTATCTTAATCAAGACTCATATTCCTTCTCTAGAGCCTTCGAAAAAAGTACATCATTTGTTCAACACTTGAGTCACCTTTTTAACTACACCTTTGAAACTCACAACTTCTTTGTTCGATATTTAAGGATTCTATTGACATGACTAAGTAAGCTTATGATCAACCCGTTAATTAGTCAATGTGAGTCTCCTTTCCCAACCACCTTGAATAGTTTAAACATTGCTTACGATGAAAAAGTTTGAATTTTTAATGTAGCAACCTGAGTTGGGTCCATAGAAATCCATCATGAATCACGTTGTTGAGCTAAGTACAATAACAATTCTCAACTATTGTCGTCGACAGTGCACGGAGACAAAAAACAAAGCTTTCCCCTTTAATAATCACTCACTTTAACCCCAAAAAAAGATGTGTTTGTTATATTATTCGCGAGGATTTGGACACTTTATGAATTAAAAATGCAAATCAATCTGACGTTGGCAGTGGAGATTGGCGAATAATGTGCATACAACACATCAGTCTTGTTTAAAAGCTTGATTGTCGTCTCTTTACATAGACACGGCAGAAAGTTGTATCAGGCCTCTGTTTCGGCGGAGATGGAGGCGGCGCCACTTCTGGGCGACAGCAGCAGCGGAGGAGACTATGCTCCGGCGAGGAACTTTGAGCAGTTCAAGCATGTCGTGTGGAGTGAGACGGTGAAGACTTGGACCATCTCCGGTCCGGTCATTTTTCAGATCGTTTGTCAATATGGAACCAACTCTGTTACCAATATCTTTGTGGGTCAACTCGGGGAGCTTGAGCTCTCTGGAGTTTCCATTGCCATCTCTGTGATTGCCACTTTCGCTTTCGGTTTCATGGTTTGTATTTTCTCTCTCAATCCCCATTGATTGAAAAGCTAGATTCTGATGTGGGTGTTTAAAAATTGTTCACAGTTTGGAATGGGAAGTGCAACAGAAACACTGTGCGGCCAAGCATTTGGGGCTGGACAAATCCACATGCTGGGTGTGTATATGCAGAGATCATGGGTCATAATGTTCGTATGTGCCTTAATAATCACACCAGTCTATGTCTTTGCCACTCCCATTTTGAAGCTTTTGGGGCAACAAGATGATGTCGCAGAACTGGCTGGGAATTTCTCTCTGCTCATACTCCCACAGCTGTTCTCCTTTGTGTTGGCTTTTCCAACCCAGAAGTTTCTGCAGGCACAGAGCAAAGTGTGGGCGTTGGCCTGGATTGGCTTTGGGGCTCTTCTGGCTCATGTTTTCATGTTGTGGCTGTTCATTTTTGAGTTCGGTTGGAGCACCACTGGGGCTGGTCTGGCTTTGAACATCTCTGGGTGGGGGCTTTCCATTGCTCAAGTAATTTATGTGATGGGTTGGTGTAGAGATGCTTGGCAGGGATTCTCTTGGTTGGCTTTTAAGGACTTGTGGGGATTTGTTAAGCTCTCGTTTTCCTCTGCTATTATGTTCTGCTTGGAGATTTGGTACATGAGTAGTATCATTGTTCTTGCTGGCCACCTTCCAAATGCTGTCATTTCTGTTGATTCACTCTCCATTTGGTAAGTAGATGGTTCTTTGGATGTTTGCGTGGTTATGTTCTTTGTTTTTTCATGGATCTCAAGTTTTGGGTTGTTTCAGCATGAACTTGAACGGATGGGAAAATATCATTTTCATTGGAATCAATGTCGCCATGAGGTAATGAATGATCTTGAACTATTTTAAATCTTTTAGATCTTCTTCGGTTCATCTCAAGTTCATGAAACTTTTCTTTAGATCTCTTAAATGACATCATACCAATAGAGATGTGTAATAGTCTAAACCCACCAGATATTGTCATCTTTAGTCATTCCCTTCAGCTTCTCCAAACATGTCTTTCATAGTTAAACAACGGAACCAATACTCATCCAAATATTGTCTTCCTTGGGCTTTCCCTCTCAGGCTTCCCTTATGAGCTTCCCAATATGTGTATGCTAGGAAGAGGTTTTCACATCCTTATAAGAAATGCTTCCTTTCCTCCCCAACCGATAGGAGATCTCACAATCCACCCCCTTCGGGTCTCAGCCTTCTCGCTGCCACATCGCCCGATGTCTGGCTCTGATTCAGGTGTGGTATTCAAATGGTATCAAATGGCTCTGATCAAGATGTGGAATCCTCACTGACATTCAAATGGTATCAAAGCCAGACACCGAGCGGTGTGCCAGCGAGAACGTTGGGCCTCTAAAAGGGGTGGATTGAGAGATTCCACATCGTTTGGAGAGGGAAACGAAGCATTCTTTATAAGGGTGTGGAAATCTCTCCCTAATAGACACGTTTTAAAAACTTTGAAGGAAAGCCTGAAAGGAAAAATCCAAAGAAGACAACATCTACCGGCGGTGGGTTTGGGATGTTACGATATCATTCTTTAGATCTGTCCAAAAATTGTTTGAAAAGCTTTAATCTTTCATAATATTCATTTATCAGAATCTGAGAGAGGATCCATTTTAGGCCCATTTCTTATACTGCACGTATGTTCTTCTGCTGTTTGTTTCCAGTGTTAGGGTCTCCAATGAACTTGGAAAGGCACGGCCTCGAGCTGCGAAGTACTCGGTCTATGTGACAATCGCAGAATCTCTTATTCTGGGGCTTCTTTTTATGGTGCTGATATTCTTTGTAAAGGATCATTTTGCTGTCATCTTTACAAGCAGTGTAGCTGTGCAGAAATATGTTGCCAAATTAGCCTATCTTCTTGGCATAACCATGGTTCTCAACAGTGTCCAACCAGTAATATCAGGTGAACTAATAATCTCTCTATATATAAATATGTTAGTGAAGAAGTGGTTTTGAATGAGCCTTTACAATCCTCTGGGACTTCCTTGTTCAGGTGTGGCCATTGGAGCTGGATGGCAAGCATTGGTGGCTTACATAAACTTAGGCTGCTACTACATTTTTGGTCTCCCTCTCGGGATTGTCTTAGGTTACGTAGCAAAGTTTGGAGTGAAGGTATGTCAAAGAAAAGTAGCCAATCAAGATCGAGTGTAAGAGTGGCTTCTTAATCTAACACTTTTGGTTGGATGCAGGGGCTTTGGAGCGGAATGATAGCCGGGATAGCAATGCAGACGATTCTGCTGCTGCTTGTTCTGTACAAAACCAACTGGAATAAAGAGGTAGGAGAAACCAAATGTTTTACTTTTTCTTTTTCTTTTCTTTTCTTTTCTTTTTTTTTTTTTTTTTTTTTTTTTTTTTTTTTTTTTTTTTTTTTTTTTTTTTTTTTTTTTGTTTTTTGGGTGTTGTAGGGAAGGAAGGAAGGTCGGAGCAGTTTTAATGGCGAATTGTTGAATGATTATTGCAGGTGGAGGAAACTTCAGGAAGGATGCAGAAATGGACTGGACAGGACATTGGAACAGAGAGGAGAGCTGAAAGCTAAAAGAAGTGCCATTGGGGATGTCTCCATCCACAACTGCTGCAACCTTTGTTTTTCTTTCTTTTTTCTGTGTTTTTGGCTGAGCACTTCTTCATTTCGTTTTTAAGTTGTAGGGGTTGTAAAAAACTCGGCAATTTCTGATCTTGACACAAATAATATGGGTTAGGTTGGAATGTTTAGATTGATTTTTAAGTGTTTAGTTTTTCAGATACAACCCAAAAAGACCCTAAATGAGATTTAATTGCATATAAATTGAACAAACCAATTTGGATAGATTAGATTCATCTTTTCTTTGGTTGAAATGAATCGATTTCTATTTATTAAGAAAAAAAATTCACACATAATCTTAATTACTTTTCTAAAGATAAAAAAAATCAAAAAATTATTTAACATAGTTTTTTCTTTCCATAAAGTAATGATGCATTCTCAAGTCAATATATGAAACTAGAATATATGTTTTCCGTGCTATTGTCTTAATACATCATCCACTAATTTTTCAAGTAAATGACTAAAAACCATATCTCCACATTTGCCAATTTCAATTCTTAATTTTGAAATGGCACGTGTGGGATTGAATGGGGACATATACCTTCTTGACAAACTTCCAATCTATCATATCCTAGCGAATGTCACTTAACTACAAGAAAAGGGTTGCCTAGTCTAGATGAAGTTTTATCTTCCATTATTTCGTTCAGTTCATGAAATTTAATGCCCAGGAAGCTTCAAAATATCTCTGCTCCTCGAGGAATTTTAAAACAAAAGGCCCTAAGTCTTGATTCTAAGTAACAATGTTATTCTTTACCCCCCAAAAAAAGCACCTCAAAATATCTCAATCCAACGAAGCGTACAAATATCAGAACTCCCAGCAAATAGATTACGAAATAGAAAACCAGGAATTTGAACAACTAGCAAAAAGCACCGAAGATGGATTTAATTAATATAAAATCATGCTGGTAAGTGAATAACACAACGTAAACACTTCCCTTCCTTCATGAGACTGAAAGCTTGGTTGATATCTTCAAAGGATATGTTGTGTGTGATGTACTCGTCAATTTGAATTTCCTGCATATGAGATTTTGTCAAGCGTCACATCTATAAGCTCTGTATCCAAGAATGATCCGAATATGCATACCATGCTTGTGATTTAAGAGGGAAATGCTAAAGCGCATTGAAGCAGGAAGTATCAGATTCAATCGTTAAACATAAAGCTTTTATTACCTTCTTGGTATACATGTCTACCAATGAGGGGAGATCAGATTTTGGTCTCCATCCGCCAAAAAGGGATCCTTTTAATGTTCTCCCACTAAGAAATACTCCATAGTGGGCTGTTAGTTCTGGATTCACTTTTGGGACACCTAATGTAACAGTCAAACCCCAACCCTGAACCAAGATGTTGAAAGAAATTAATCAGCTTTATGGAAGAAACTTCATCAAATAAATGCAGAGCAAAACAACACTAACTTGACAACAGGACTGCAATGCAGTAGTTATCATTCCTGTGTCACCTATACATTCAAATGCATAATCAGCCCCGCCATCAGTAATTCGATTCACGACCTACGAGAAATAAACGAAGATTAGATGAAAATTCACAAAGAAACCCATTTGAATTTTTATCATCGAGATTTTGGACAGTTGTTAGGTTGTAGAGAGTAATACCTGTTGAATGGATTCATTGCACTCCTTCGGATTAACAAAATGAGTGATCCCAAAAGTTTTGGCTGCAAGAATGGAATTATTTCCTTTGTCAACACAGTTTCTAAAAAAAATTATGAAAAGAAAATTTCGTTCTCAAAGAAGAATGAAGTACCTATTTCACCCTTTTCAGGATTAATATCAACGCCAATTATTTGCGATGCACCCCTAACTTTGGCACCTTGTGCAACCTTTTGGTAAGACAGAAAAAAGATTAATCAATTCGTTTCCAAATTTGCCAGAGGTCACTACAGAGATATTCACAAAACATAATACTTACAGATAGACCTACAGTCCCAAGACCATATATCACCACAGTTGAACCTTCAGATATATCAGCGACATTCCAAGCAGCACCCAACCCTAAAGAAAGCACATTTTATAAGTAACATCCCCTAGACTGTTGAGCAGAACATTGCTTCAATTCAATAATTAAAAAGAAAAATAAATCTCTTCAATTCAAGCATAAATTAGTTGAAATCTACAGGATAGTTTAGTAACACGATAGGTGGGTTCAGACAAAGGGGAGAATGAAAAGGTAAGACAAAAATTAGTCTGATTTACAGTCCATATTTCAACTTAAATTCAAAGAAGACCATATAAGTACGCTAATAAAGTAGCTAAGGATGAATCTCAAAGAAGACCATATAAGTATGCTAATAAAGTAGCTAAGGATGAATCTTACTCCTTTTTAACTGATCACATAAAAGAATCAATAAGCCATTGTAGACATGCAAGTTTCAGTTCACTACCTTCCACATGCGTTGCATTACTTTCTTAATATACATACTTTTTCTTACTTCTTGTATTCTATTCTGAATATATACATAGTTATGAACGACAAGATGTGATATGATTTATCCAAACCCTTCGACCACATTGAAGAAATCAAACGAAAGAATTCAACTAAGCATGCAAGTATACCTGCAGCCACTCCACAACTTAAAAGACATATTTTCTCAAGAGGTACAGCCAAGCTGACTTTGACAGCACACCCTGAGTGCACCACGGCATATTCACTGAAACTTGAAACCGCACAATAATGATAAACTGGTTTGTCTTTGATAGAGAATCGGGTCTTCTGATCACTATGCATTACACCTCTCCTCTCTAGTCCCAAAACTTGGCACATATTGCTTTTACCTGATGTGCACTGCCTACATGTTTTGCATTCTCCAGTGAATAGTGTAAGCACGTGATCACCTTCACTGAATTCAGTCACTCCAGGACCAACACTCTCAACAATACTGAAAAATAAAATGGAAGATCATTATTTTCCAATGAGATGAAACTGAATCGCTGCTTTACATTTCAACACTGAAAAATAAAGAAGTTACCCTGATGCTTCATGGCCAAAAATGCGAGGAAAAATAGCCTACAAAAGCAACAAGTAATTATTTCAGAAGGTTCAAATCTTCGTCTTCATCATGAAACATAATGCAAAGACTCCATAATTTCCTTTCGCTGGCCTTTACAAGCTTATACCAACAAAAGGTAAACAACGTGTTACAAGATTACAAGCTGGTAGAACAAAATTCAATAGAAGCTAAAAAGTTCAAGTTCATATAATGCGATTTTACAAAAGAAAAAAAAAACGGCTTGATGAGAAAAATATAAAGTATATTTCAATCCACGATTTGTATTGATTTCTTCGTTCGCTAATAAAAGGTTGACCTCCATCGCTATTATCAAACGAGATTACTGCAAGTTTTGTATGTACGTCCTGAGCTCAAACAAAACTTTGAACAATAATGGATCTGGCTATCCAATTTTTACAGAACATAAAATCAATCGCAGGACTCAAATGATGTATAATTAGCATTTACATAATCAATCACATTGTTCTACTTATCAACGAAATATTAATTGACATCGGTCAACGACGATCCATCCGCATAAATTGCGAAAATAAAAATTCATTTCATCTAGAATGGAAGTAAGAACCTGAGTTTCCCACGCAGAGAAATCACTGCGACACAAAGAAGTGCAGACAACTTTAATTCTGATCTCCATAGGTTGAGGAGGACTCACTTGCACCTCCTCAATCACCAATGGCTCTCCAGGTCCCCAAGCGACCGCGGCTTCAATCGAATTACGAAAAATGAGATACAAGTAATTTAGGAAGCTGAGGATGGTAGAATACAAGAAAGAAATCCAGAAGTATTACCTTTGCAAGTAAGAACCGCAGGGGAAGAAGACGACATCCCGGTGAGATTGAAGCGCAAGAAAAATACTGATTCGGAGGGAATTCTTCCAGCGGAGTCTGGGAAGAATTGTATTGAGTCGCCTTGAACAGGCGAAGGAGCTGCGAGTTTCTATCATTCGCCTTTGGTGGTAGGTGCGGTTGGTGGAGATGGAGGGGGGCGTCGGGCTCACAAGCAAGCACCACCAAACCTTTTTCCTTTTTTATTTTTATATATTATTATTCTCTAAACTTTAATTTAATCTATTTTATTTTCTTTAATGGTTTAAATAATAATAATATTTTCAGAAACTCAAAATTTACTGTATAATAAAAAAATGGCTAAATTAAAACAATGACTTTAATCGTTGCACTAAATATTTAAAAGTTTTAATAATAACTTGAAATTTTAAAAAAAAAATCTAAAAAACACATTTAAATTTTCAAAAATAAATTTTAAATTTTTCGCGAACATTTTTATAAATTTAGCTTTAAAAAATTATAACAAATATTAATGTATATTTTTTTAAAAAAAATAAATTTAAAATTTATTAAAAGTACAATCGCAAAATTTGACTAAAATGATATTTTAATTAAAAAACTAATTTTTACCTTAAAAAAGTTTTCTTTTTGTTCTTTTTCTAATTTGATTTCGAAAAAAAATACAAAAGAAAATGCAATTTGTGGAGTTGTTGCGGCTGGATCTTGTCGGCTGTGTGTCATTGGTACTTGCTACTCAAAAATATTTTTCAAATCATAATTGTTTCATCGAATATATTTATTAATTTGGTCTAATTAGACCACTTAGGTTCAATTTGGTCCAAAAATAGGTTCATTGAATTTTGGCAAGTCCAAAACCCAATTGATTACGTTCCAAGACCATTGAAAACCGACCTTTTGATTGGGTTCAAAACACTCTCAAGCTCCATCTTTTGAGTGAAGTGCGCTTCTAAAAGAGATAATCAGATGATCAAGTGTTAGAGTCATGTCAAACCCATATAAATCGACATAAACTTAAATTCACTTCACAAACTAAATTTTTATAGAAATCTCGACATTGATTCGATTTGGCTCGTCTTTTATAGCCAAAACTCTATTAAGGTATAAAATTTAGACGTTTTATTTTTTTTTTTTCACCAATACCCTTTTGTAAAACATAATGATTTCTAGAATCAAAAGTTAACCTAAAATCACTACTTTCAAAATTTGTCCTCTCATTAAATACACGATGATATAGACATCGAAATTCGTAACGAAAGAAAAGAAAGGAAGAACATAATAATCACAAAAAATGAACAAAGAGACAACATAGCCACCATTTT